ATCAGTCAGCTCTGTATTTTTTACACTATTTCGTATGTTCAGATGGAAAGGGAAGCTTTTTAGCCTGCAGAGATAAGGATTTCTCGGCCACTTAGACTCATTCCTGCATTTGGTGAGGGTGCGTTTCCCAACTTTGAGGTGGCAGCCATGGCTTACGCAAGAAGAGCTGACTTGTTCTCCACTGTAAGTTGAACACCTGCCATCAGAGGCCTTTGTTGCATAAATTAATGAATTCTTGGTACTCCACTGTACTTCAAGTGTCAACAGTAAAAGTAAGAGATGAAGGAACACAGTGTGATTTGGCTGCTTGTGTTTCTTGTTCATGCAGCAGTTCATTCGGTGTGCCAGGCACTGCCGGGGATCTCAGCCTTGCTCTGTCTTCCTTCTCTCACCACAGCGGAGAACGCTCCAGTGCAGGCTTCACATCCTATTCAATCTAACCCTGGCAAATGCTTCATATGATGGCATACTCAGTAAGCATTCACCCAAACAATGAGTATTAGCAACTTTGAAATTGGAGGCAGCAGGTACTGAAGCCTCATTTGCCGGATCCCTAATAATAGCCCAAAATCTTAAACATATTTTTTCCTTCCTCAGTTGTTTTGTGTTGTTGTTTTTTATGAATGAGTGCATTGAAACTTCCCAAGGTTCTACATCTCACTCCTTCCCTGTATAGACAGGATGTAAAGGCTGGGTTGGTTGGTGAGAAAGAATCTCCTAATATCTAGATTCCAAAACCTTTGAGAGACAGAAAGACAGATGTCAATTGGCTAATGTGGGGTGGAGATCTAGCCCCTTTTCTCCTCTCTGCCTATACTCTCTCCCCTTTTTTCAACTCCATATGTCATAAGATATTAATGTATTTGTTGTTGGTCACAGCAAGAAAACCACTATTAAGGTATATTGAAGTTTAGACTGTGACCTTAAATCTTCTTTTTGCCCTTCCTTCACTAACTGCCCTGACTGCAAACCACAGAGTTTAATAGCTGATTGTTAATAGATTTAGGGTTTTCCCAGGAACAGCTGCAGCTGCTACTACAACATGACTATATTTGCAGCCATGTGTGCACATACTTAGGTATGTTGTGATTGTGTAAAGAAAGACTGTCTTGGTTATAGTTGGGTTTTCGTATGTGAGAGTGGTAGTAAAATCTGCATCTTAGTGGCTAACATATTAAAAAATATTCAAGTTCCTGCTAAGTCCAGAGGATGCAGTGGTGAGAAGAGTAGGTGTAGCTCAGTCTAGTGAAGGAGGCAGTAAGACAAGGAACAAATATATAAACACAAACTCTGATCAGTTCTGGCAGAAGTATCAGGATGCCGTGGTAGAGAAGGGAACGGCTTCAGGAGGGGGTCAGGGACTGCTGTTCTGGAGTTGTGACAATCATGCTGAAATGGAGAGAACAAAAAGATGCCATCGTGCTAGGAAGGCAGAGAAGGCCAGTGCAGGCAGAGAAGAATTGTTTGTTTTGGGGGATGGTTGTGCACGGCCATCCCGGCATTGTTCACAAGCAGTGAAGTGGCTGCTGGGATCAAGAATGCAGACAGTGCCCTAACCGGTTTGGCTCAGTGGATAGAGCGTCGGCCTGCGGACTGAGGGGTCCCAGGTTCGGTTCCGGTCAAGGGCATGTGCCTTGGTTGCGGGCACATCCCCAGTGGGGGGTGTGCAGGAGGCAGCTGATTGATGTTTCTCTCTCATTGATGTTTCCGGCTCTCTATCCCTCTCCCTTCCTCTCTGTAAAAAAAATCAAAAAAAAAAAAAAAAAGAATGCAGACAGTGATAGTGAGGCAGGGCTTCTTGGCGAATCCTTTGTATATTCTGCGCTCTATTAAACCTGCTGCTGTTTCCGTCTTTGCCACAGCCAGTAGCTGGGCAGGTAAGTAGGTGCTGTATGTTATTTCCTGGTTCCTTTAGCTCAGAGAATGAATAGGTAGAGGTCATGGGTGCTTCTGGGTATGTCTGATGAGAAGCATCTAAAATCCTTTAGGGTAACTTGTGTTTTCATGATCTGTGCTTGATGAGATTCTGCTTCTGGACATTTTAAGGACATTGTTAGCTTTTCTTTCTCATGTGGAGCTGAGTAATTGCAAGTGATAGTAATGGTATTGTTTTGGGGTGTGGGTTTTAATGAGTGCTTCATCCCCTAAAAAGGCATTCTCTCACAGATATTTTAGGTTCACCCTCTAACATTTCAGGCATATCACAGATGTGGAAAATTTGGGAGTACAAAGCATAACTTCTAAGAGACCAGGATGAATTTTAGAGGTAAATATAGCCTGCTAGACAATAAAACAAAAATATAAGTTAATAAATCTCTGAGGAAGAAAAGATATCAAAAGACTGGAGGCACCAGAAGCTAAACTTCGGGGGAGCAGGGTCTAGGGTTGTGCTGCCCACTGTTAGGTCCTCGCCACTCAAAACAGTGCCTGGCACGGAGCCGGCTCCAGAAATGTCCATTGAGTGAACAGACTAGAAGACCCTGAGTAGATGCACATGGCTAAGTAGACGTACTAAAATGCATTTTATACACATTTTAAAAATCAGCTTGCATTCTGAATGTGGATTTTGACTTTGTTTTTATTGTTGTCAACAAATGGTGAATTAATAAGATTATGAGAGAGAGAAACTTGAAAGTTTTTACTTTCTTAAAAAATGATTAGAAGGATCATGGGGAACAGTGGTGTGATCCCAAAGTTACAGTACCCGGAGTCCTAGCATCTCTTAAATTAGTTGTTTCCTATGCCTTCCCTGCCTGTGTGCCCTTGAATAAGTGATTTAATCTGTATCTCTATTTTCTCATTTATGAAGTGGGAATAATAGTAGAACCTTCCTGATAGGATTATTATGAGGATTAAACCAGTTAAGATGTGTAAAGCAATTGAAATAGTTCACATGCATATATGGTAAGCTCTATAGCAGTGGTTCTCAACCTTCCTAATGCCGCGACCCTTTAATATAGTTCCTCATGTTGTGGTGACCCCCAACCATAAAATTATTTTCGTTGCTACTTCATAACTGTAATTTTGCTACTGTTATGAATCATAATGTAAATATCTGATATGCAGGATGTATTTTCATTGTTACAAGTTGAACATAATTAAAGCATAGTGATTACTCACAAAAATAATATGTAATTATATATGTGTTTTCCGATGGTCTTAGGCGACCCCTATGAAAGGGTCGTTCAACCCCCAAAGCGGTCGCGACCCACAGGTTGAGAACCGCTGCTGTATGTACTCTAAGGTTAGAAAATTTTACTTCTGTGTTTTCTTTTAATACTTTTATAGTTTTTTCCTTATATATAAGTCTATGATCCATTGTGTTATATGGATAAATGAGTTAATTTTGTGAATGAGTTAACTTTGTATATGATGTGAGGTAAGGGCCCAAATCCATTCTTTTCCCAGCACCATTTGTTAAAAAGACAACGTTTGTCCCATTAAATTGTCTGGCACCTTTGTCAAAAATCAAATGACCATAAATGGAAGGTTTTATTTTTAGACTCTGAATCCATTGATCTGTATGTCTATTTTTATGCCAGTGCCACACTGTCTTGAGTACTGTAGTTTTGTAGTAAGTTTTGAAATTAGGAAGTATGAGTTCTCTAACTTTGTTATTTGGTTTTATGGTGGCTATTCTGGGAACCTTGCATTGCCATATGAATTTTAAGATCAGTTTGCCAATTTCTTTTAGAAAGGCAGCTGGGATTCTGATAAGGATTGGATTGAATCTGTATATATTAATTTGGGGAGTATTGCCATTTTAACAATACTAAGTCTTGTGGTCTATGAACATGGGATATGGGATGTCTTTCCATTTCTTTAGATCTTCAATTTCTTTCAATGATGGTTTATAGTTTTCAGTGTACAAGTCTTGTACTTCTTTTATTAAATTTATTTCTAAGTACTTTTTTATGCTATTGTAAGTGGAATTGTTTTCTTAATTGTATTTGCAGATTGCTCACTGACATATTTTGAGGGGTTTTTTCTGCGTCTTTATTTTTTTGTGGTAAAATATACATAACATAAAACTTACCATTTTAACCATTTCTAAGTGTAATTCACTGGCATTAAGTATTCACAATGCTATGTAACCATTCCCAGTATCTATTTTAAGAACGTTTTCATCATTCCAAACAGAAACTCTGTACCCATTAAACAATAGGTACATAACTCCACATTTCCCTCCTCCCAGCTCATAGTAACCTCTACTCTACTTTCTGTCTCTCAATTTGCTTATTCTAGGTACCACATGTATGTAGAATTATACAGTATTTTCTTTTGTTCTGGCTTATTTCACTTAGAATAATGTTCTTAAGGTTCATCCATGTTGTAGCATATATCAGAATTCCATTTATGTTTATGGCTAAGTAGTAGTCTATTGTTTATACATTTATCTGATGATGGATATTGGGTTGTCTCCATCTTTGGCTATTTTGAATAATGATACTATTCAGATTGGTGTACAAATATCTGTTCAAGTTCCTGCTTTCAATTATTTTAGATATAAACCTAGGAGTGGAATTGATCATATGGTAATTCTATGCTTAACTTTGCGAGGAACAATGAAACTGTTTTTACAGGAACTGCAGTATTTTATATTCACACCAGCAATACACAAGGGTTCCAGTTTCTCTGCATCCTCACCAATACTTGTTATTTTCCACTTTTTAAAAATAATAATCACCTTAATGAATGTGATATTTGATTAAGAATTAGAGTGCATCTAACAGTCTTTGAATGATGGAATAGCTAATCCCTCAGACAAATACATGCAAAATGCAGTCCATTGAAAAAAAATCAAGGAAAATTGTAAATTTTCTGTGTTTATTTTTAGCTTTATTTCCTTGTTATAATTGTAATTTCCATACTTTGTCATAGTTGAAGATAAACAATGAAAGGAAAGCTGGGCTTTTAGGAGAATATTGAAAACTTTTACGTATATATCATTTTAAAGTTTGGGCAATGTAACAGTTTCTCTTCTTTCTATGATGTCAAAGACAACGGACACTGTTGTTAGAACTCTACCAGACAAGGATGAAGAGCTGTGCAAGTATTTCTTGAATCCTTCTTTAATGTCATCAGAATATCCACGAACAACCTTGAAAAAGAAATCAGAAGACATGAGCGACCTCCCTTCTGAGAGTCAAAGAAGCATACCACTCGCTGTGACTGAAGCTTTAGAGCATATTATGGAACAGCTCAATGTTTTGACACAGGTGAATTGCTATGCTTTGTACTGGAGGGCAAGATATAAGGAACAATCCTGGTTACAGCAAGCTGTAGAATTAGCAGAGTAGGGGAAAATTCTTTTTTCTTAGAAAGGCAAGCTCAAGGTGGCAGTCAGTATAGCAAGGAATGCTCTGCTTGCTCTAGCAAGATCTTATGGAGATAAAGTCAGAGCCTCTCTCTCTCTCTCTCTCTCTCTCTCTCTCTCTCTCTCTCTCTCTCTCTCTCTCTCTCTCTTTCTCTCTCTCTCTCTCCTCTCCCTCTCCTCTCTCTCTTCTGTATCTTGCATCCAGGGGCCAGAAGGGAGCAGTAGAGACTATGAAGAATAGAGGTGGCAGCATTTTGATCTGGGCAGTAGAAGTTTTGATATATTCAGATTAGGACATTTTCAGTGGCATATTTAGGGCCATAAGACAAATGTATTGGGATTAATTATTTCTGGTTAGAAAGAACTATTGGCAGTGTTTACAGTTCTTCACTCTGAGGATATTCTTGCTATCCCCTATTTCCAGAGCTGCTTGCATTGATGCTGAGTTCTTCTGCAGGTGATGGGGTTTGCATTCCCATTTTAGAATCTTACCAGTTTACCTTTGCGAAGAAGAAACACCATGGATGTTAATATACCAAAGGTCTTCCAACTCTTGGTCAGGAGATATAGATGTCATTTAAGGGGAGTGTTGTGTGGAAACCACCAAAGGTTTCTCTTCCAGCTTTGCTGATTCAGTGTTTCCTTTGAAGAAGTTTTCTGTAGTTCTTCTTTGATACATAGACTAAGAATACCAGTATTCGTCAGAGTATTTGTCACAGTTATAAGAAAGGGGGCTTTAATGTGATCTAGAGATGTCAATTACTTTTCCAGAATAAATATTTTAAGTTGTAATAGGTCTTACATAGAAATAATCTAATTCTGTTCTCAGCCCTGTCTGTACATTATAATCACCTGGGTAGTTCATAAGCATTCAGATGTCCTATTCTCATCTCCAGAGAATTCATTTACATTGGTCTAGGATAAGGTCTTTCAATCACCCCATATGATTTTGTATGATAGCCAGGGTTTAGAGCCACTAACTACAGAGTAAAAACATTCAGCTCCATGCAGATTCCGTCCTGGCTGGCGCTTGTTCCCACACTGCCACGACTGCCTCAGCTGCACTCTTGCATGCAGGGTTGAGTCCTTATGCATCTCTCCCACGTGAATCTTTTCATTCTCCACTCTTCAGCTTCACAATCCATTTCTACTTCCTTTGGCCTGATTCACAGATAAATGATTCACTTTCAGCTTTATTGAATGTCTGTATGATTTTTTTATCTTCAGTTTTGAAGAGCTGGCTGGCTTTTACGTATGAAAGTGGTTAAAAGCAGGCACAGCACACTTGCAAAACACGAACAGTGAATCTGTGGGCCAGTACCAAGTAACACAAACATGTTCTGATTCACTTTATTTACAGATGACTGGACTTCTAACTCAGCTGCAGTGTTACTAACTATCTTTACTGAACTATAATTAGAAATAAATTAAAATGAAATTATGTTTAGATGGTAGATAAATGGAGTCTATTGTTAAAGGTGTTGATAATATTTTTAACAGCTTTAGCATGTGGAAATGTGAAAATGTATGTAAAGTATCTGGTAAAATGCTTGACTCATAGTAGGCATTCAAGAAATAGCAGAATATATTACCAGCATCACTGTTATTTTTAACTTGTCATGATCTGTAGTATCAAATATGAAAGCAAAAGCTATAAATAATGACAGTTTTAAGAATTGGTTACCTTCAAAGGATAATAGGGCACTAATTCATTATCTTGAAACTTGCTGCTGAAATAACCAAGCATTTCCCCAGCCTTTCCCCTATGAACTCTACCACTGCATAACCAAATAGTAGATGAGGGAAATGCCTCTTATTTATAAATTATCCTAACTAATATATTTTTCTCTTTTTTTAAAATATATTTTATTGATTTTACAGAGAGGAAGGGAGAGAGATAGAGAGTTAGAAACATCGATGAAAGAGAAACATCGATCAGCTGCCTCCTGCACACCTCCTACTGGGGATGTCCCCGCAACCAAGGTACATGCCCTTGACCAGAATCGAACCTGGGACCTTTCAGTCTGCAGGCTGATGCTCTATCCACTGAGCCAAACCGGTTACAGCAACTAATATATTTTTAAAGATGGAATTAGAATATCATCATTTACAACTCCCAAGAATTAAAGAGCTCTCAGCATTGAGTAGTTACTAACATTATGAAAAGAGAAACAACCAAACCTTAGTAATGTGCCTTCTAATGAAAGAACAGACCACCACTTATAGTCTTACCAAAGGATCTAGCCTAAGTCTTATCAGCCTTTGAGTCCAACTGCCAAATGACTGAAGATAAGGAGGGTAGAAGAGCAGACTGTGCTGGACCTGGGTGTTCCATTCCTAAAGTCCAGACTGGTGGGAACTCTGCCTTCACATGGCCTGAGCCTGACAGAAAACAACTTGTAAAGAAAAGGAGGGGAAGGGATAGCAGCCTATTCTATATAATAAAAGGCTAATATGCAAATTGTCCCCTCGACCAGGAGTTAGACCAGTTCAACCAGGGGGTGGGGCCAGCTGGCCAACCACCCTCGGTCCCTCCCCCCAGCCAGCCCCGCCCCCAACCCCCCCTCCTGAGGTCAAGGGCAGGGCCCCCGATCGGTCCCTCCACCCCGATCGGGGTGGGCTGGCCGGACCCCACCTGTGCACGAATTCATACACCAGGCCTCTAGTTGATTAATAAAAGATGAAATGCATATCAACTCTTGAAAATGGGTAGGACAAAATTAAAGTGTCTAGGGATATACACCCAAAAGATAAAATGATAAAGAAATAAGAGAAAGTAATACTGTAATGGTCAGGATAGTAACTGTTAAGAGGGTAGGCAGGAGTGGTGATTCTGACAGACACCTGGAAAGGCACCTGGGTGGCTGGCAGAGTTCTAGTGCTGGACCTGGGTGCTGGTTAGAAGAGTGTTTTTCTCATGAGAATTCATTGTAACACGTGCTTTATGCGGCTTTCTGAATCTGTTTTATCCTGTATAATAAAAGGCCAATATGCAAATTGACCAAACGGCCGAAGGACTGGTCGCTATGAGGTGCACTGACCACCAGGGGGCAGATGCTCAATGCAGGAGCTGCCCCCTGGTGGTCAGTGCGCTCCCACGGGGGAGCGCCGCTCAGCCAGAAGCCCTGAGCCGGGCTCACGGCTGGCGCAGCAGTGGTGGCAGGAGCCTCTCCATCCTCCGCAGCAGCACTAAGGATGTCGAACTGATGGCTTAGGCCTACTCCCCAATCCCCATGGGGAGCGGGCCTAAGCCGTCAGTCAGACATCCCCCAAGGGCTCCCAGACTGCGAGAGTGCACAGGCTGGGCTGAGGGACCCCACCCCCACCCCCAAGTGCACAAATTTCGTGCACTGGGCCTCTAGTTTTATAATAAAAGTTGTTTTAAAAGATGTAAAAGACTGAAGATGAAGTCAATATCACAAAAAATTAGATTTCCCAAATTTAAGAGTAGTCATTGTGTGTGTGTGTGTGTGTGTAGTCATATACTTATTTATTAGCTGAAGGGGTTAGACTAGCTAAGATTCATCATTTCCTGTATGCCAGGCACTAGCTGAGGCATTTTTGATGCATCATTTCATTCAGTCTTCCTAACAACCCTTTGAAGTGCTATTATCATCTTTGGGGCATGAGAACTAGAGGCAATCATTATGGTTTTTTCAAAGTAAACTAGGTAGCCAGCTGTCTAAGGTGGTATAGATACGATCTATCATTGACTGTGATAGAATGACCAATGATGGCATTAAAAGTAGCACCTGGGCTAGGCATGTGACATTGTACCCCCACCCCACTCCCTATACCACTTAGATCTCCACATGTGGCCTCTTTCCTGGCATCGATGCTTTGGAAGATCTTTTCTGTTTTTCCTCATATGCATCAGTTTTTGTTTTTTTCTTCAAACTGCTTGACAGTGCTTTGCCCTGGAGTAGAGCCAGAGGCAGAGCAAGTTCTGGGGCCCATTTTTGAGCCAACTTCCTGGCGAAAGGGTAGGCATTCTAGTTCTAAAAGAATCTCCTCTGCAGAGATTATCATCATTGTCCTCATCATCATTGATTATTTTGTCCTTTTTGCAGACTGTTTCAATCTTGGAGCAGCGATTGACTTTGACAGAGGATAAACTGAAAGACTGCCTTGAAAATCAGCAAAGGCTTTGCAACGCCATGCAACAAAAAATGTAAATAGAAAAGTGTGAGCAGAGGCACGTTGAATGAGCACATGTGTACATACACAGGAAGGCAGTACAGGAGTCTCCATGGGACACAACCATGCGCTAATCATCATGGCATTTCTTACAAGAGTGAGCAACAGAAGAAAAGGCATAATAAGTGATGAACTTAAATTCACAAATCAATGTCAAGGACTGTTTCAAATCATTACCGTTTATGATTGCAGTAATAAAGCGATATTCGTTCAAGTGGCTCTGTATTTTCCCCATATTATTCTAAATGTCAGTTTTCATTTGTAGTCTAAACCCCACCAGAAAAGTAACCAAATCTTTGGGTTGCATTGTTAAATCATTTCAGATTAACCATGTTCATGCAATTCCTTAAAGCAATTAATGTATTTTTTTAGTGAGCACTTTTAGGGTGAAATAACTCACCTCTAAAATAGCATCCTATATATTCAAAGAAAACATTTATCCTTTCTTACCAATACCTTGAAAAGATGACCGTATAAATATTTCCAAAATACAGAATTTCCACAGCAAGAGTACACTTATTTTAATTAGCAACAGTACATGTATGACATAGGTCAGTGGGCTTTCATTTAATGTATGTTTTATATTGTTTGTCTTTGACCAACCTGAAAGAAAATGAAGTTAAAAATATGTGGTGAAGCACACATCTTTCTTTCATAGCTGAATGCAGTGAATGATTTGAATTGTATTTTAACTTGTAATCCCAGTTTACAAAGATTATGTTACTGTGATTTCATTCAGCTCAAAAGCCAGAATGATGCAGCAGCAATACTTACAGATATACACCATGTATGTTCACATGCTTCAGAAATGTTGCTTAGTATGATTTTGGCAGCTGAATAATAGGTACTTTAAAAAATACATTCACATCATCACAGTTAAATGAATTGTGATTTGAAACTAAATGAAAATGAGCCAGGTGTGCTAAAAGATCTTGGTTACAAGTTAAGAATTTTGTTTTAGCTTAAGCAAAATAAGAGATTAAATTGGAAAAAAAGCAACATGAATTTTAGCTTGCTTTTCTGTTAACCTATATCAAGGACAAAGAAGGTGTGAGAAGATGGTCTGTAGGCAACATGGGGAAAATGCTCTGTATGTGTTGGAAAACAAGAAAAAGTGAAGTCCTATTTATGTAGGAGTCTGTCTATATGTAGAAATTTTTCTCAAAGCAACTTCAGTTGTATCAGTGAGGTGGTTTTTTATTATCTCATGTTTTAAGTGCCTTTTTATATCATATATAAACTTCTAGACATTTTCAAGAGTCTATAGACTAAGTGGCAAGTATTTTTATAAACTCATTGAGAAGACTAAGAAATGAAATGTCATACTGGCTTTGTTCACTCTTTTTTATGCTTCAAACAATAAAGACATTTTACCCATAAAAAATGTTGTTCCTTTCTTTTTTTTTTTTAATGATTGAAACCTGGAAATATTAAACTTGTTATTATCTGGCTGATTCCATTTTAATGGAAAACCTGTCAAAATGGTTTCCTGGGCCGCATCCCCAGACTTGATGATTCAGTAGGTCGCTGGGGCCAATAACGTGCATCTCTAAGAAGCTCACGGGTGAGGCAGATGTTTGTTGGCCTGAAGCCCACACTTTAGAAACCACTGATCTAGCTATAGCCACTGCTTACAGCATGATGCTGCCACACATTTCACAGTCATCACAGGCCTTTATGAGTAAAATGCCTTGAAACTTTTTCAAGAGAGTCATTTAATTGCCCCCCCCACCCCATTTTTTAAGCTTTTGCAGATTCTCCTTGGTGTTTACCGGATTCCAGCCTCTCATCTTTTCTGACTTGTATATTCAGCTGCCTGATGAACATCTCCACTTAGAAGATTAGTAGGCATCTCTAAATATGTCCAAAACTAAACTCTGCTGCCCACAGTCCCGCCTCCCCCACCAGCCAGTTCCTCTCTAGTCGTCCCATCTCAGTAAGTGGCAACCCCCCTTCCCGGTGCTCAGGCTGAAGACCTGGAAGTGAGTCATCCTCGACTCTTCTCTCACACCCCACGTTCCACTCCTTCAGCCCATCTTGTCAGAACAGATGAAAACCCGACCACATCTCACCACCTACATCACCCACCATCACCTCTTACCTGGATGACTGCAGTTCCCTTCCAGCTGGTCTCCCTCCTGTCACCTTGTACAGCTGGCCAGAGTGGTTCTTGAAAACCCGAGTTAAAATCGTGGCTCTTTGCCCCCAAATCCTTCAGGTCTTCCCATCATAATAGCCCAGGACGTCGTACGTGATGTGCTCCCTTTCCAGCTCCTCTTGGGCCTGCACCCCTCCCCCTTGAGTCACCCTCACTCCCTCACTGACCTCTGGCCATAGTGGCCTCTTCCATTTGAAGAAGCAAGTAAGCTCCCACCTGAGGGCATTTGTGCTTGCCATTTCCTCTTCCCGAACGCTCTGTTCTCCGGTATCCCTCACAACACTCCAGCCTGCTCACCGCGGCCGCTCACAGACTGCCTTTCCAGCAGGCTCTCCCAATGGCCCTGTGTGAAACAATAACCCTCCGTCCACTCCCTGCGGATCGGGTACAACAGATGCACATAGAACACAGTTCTGCCTCTCCCACTGCGATGTGACCTTCTCAAACAGCTGTCACCTAATGTCATCGTTAGATTCCCCACCTCACACCTTGCATCACCCATAGGAAAAGCTAAACAAATTGTTGCTTAAGTGAGGATTTTCATTTATTCAAGGGGCTTTAAAACATTGCTCTCCACTTCACTTAGAGCCAAAAGTAGTAAAAATTAGACTGAGTGAACTAGAGGAAGTGACATGTCTACGTTAGGTGCTTTAGATCTAAATTTAGATGTAAATTTTAGATGCTTGGTGTTGGGGGCTGAATGGGCATTGTTCTGGCCTGCTATTTGTTTTATAGATCTTGAGTGCAAATTCCAGCTTTGCTTTTCTGTGGTAGTGTGATTTTCAGGAAAGATACAAAGCAGAAATTAGGTGAAAACAATAATGTGAATTGTGTTTGTGAAATGATTAGCACAAGTTCAGTAAGAGTTAAGTACTCAATAAATGTAGCTGTTATTACTATTAATCATTTTTGTTTTACTGGACTGCATTTCTAAATAATATGATTTCAACTATAACTATGGAAAAGGTACAAAGACTAATATTAAATGGTGTGGACAAAAAACGGGGGGACTCTGTGCAAAGTGACCTCATAGAATGATCTGTTGATAAATTACTAACTGCACAGGTTTTGGTGGATAGTCATAGGCATATAACTTCTTTATTAAAAAGCTTGTCTTTGCCCAGCCAGTGTTGCTCAGTGGTTGAGCGTCAACCCAGGAACCAAAGTGGTCACCGGTTCGATTCCTGGTCAGGTCACATGCCCAGGTTGTGGCCTCAATCCCCAGTAAGAGGGCATGCAGGAGGCAGCCAATCAATGATTCTCTCTCATCATTGCTCTCTCCGTCTCCCTTCCTCTCTCTCTAAAAATCAATAAAAAATATATTAAAGTGCACTTTCTTTTAACCTTATTTTTAAAAAAAGAAAACACCTTGTCTTTGCCTTAAGCAAGCCCTGTCCATTGTTTCTGTGCATCTAGGTTAAAACACCTTTGAAATGGCCCCTTTCAGACCTTCCTTCTTATAATCCAATCCTGGTCTTGCTTTCTCCCACCCTCATGCAATCCGCCTTACATTCCCTCTTTAATTTCAAATTTTGCATGAAGGAAACTGCAAAACTTATTCTCCAGAGCATTTGAGATCTTGCTCTCTTGCATGTCATCAGCTTTGACTCAAACTCATAAAAATGCTCTACAAGTTTAGAAATTCTTACATCGACAGTGGTAACAAATGAAAGCATGGTACTTAATCCAAAGTTAGTATTTTATTTTTAAAAGTTCCACAACAATAATAAATCTATTAGGAGATTGGGCTTTCATACACAGAAAACTGAAAGGTTCAGGCCAAATGCTGGCCATTGAATGACTCCAGAGGAACTCAACCTGAGAATAAATTTGCTATAATTATATATATAAAAGGCTAACATGCTAAGTGTCCGACCGTCCAACTGGTCGCTATGATGCGCACTGACCACCAAGGGGCAGATGCTCAACGCAGGAGCTGCCAAGTTGCAGTGACTTGGCAGCAGCAGTTCTCAGGTGACGCACCCCAGAAGCAGAAAGGAGGGAGCCCGATTCCTTGCAGAGTCACGTGATTCCACCTTTGGCCGTGGGTTATGTTGCTGGGGCACTGTCAGCCCCAAATCTGGTTTACTGCACACTTACATTTGCATTCCACACCCTGTACCACAGCAACTTTGCAGAGTGCCCTCTAGCACTCCGGGACCCTTTGGGGGATGTTGGAGAGCCGGTTTTGGCCTGATCCCCGCAGGCCAGGCCAAGGGACCTCACCTGCTGGAGGGACCCCACTCACTCCACAGACGCCAGGGAGGGACCGTGGGAGGTTGGCTCCAGGGCATGTCTGGCCCATCTTGCCCAGTCCTTCTAATTAATTTCCTTTCAATGTGCATGAATCCATGCACTGGGTCACTAGTCCTAAATAAAGATAAGGCAAAAACAGGAAGTAGAAGGGCCTGGAATGTGAACCAGCTTACGACCCCTACCATCCTGGCCCTTTGGCCACTTGGAGAACAGGTATTATTATTATTACTGCCTTTTCTCTAAAGACAAGGCAGTCCAGATCCTCACTTAACTCTTCATTCATATTTAGAGCAAACTTGGGAGTTTATTATTCCCAAGATAAATTCTATATATCTAAAAGAATTGGGAGATAAACCATCTATCCCTGGGTAGCTGAGAAAAAAATTACTCTAATATTCAGAAGTATTGACAAATAATCATGCTCAATTCAATAGCAAATTTAATTATTAAAACAGATGGGTCTATCTTAGTATTCACATGGAATTATACCATCAGTACACTATATGCTTCATTTCCCCTTATGGCTTACTCAATGTTTTGCCTTAGCAAGTTACGAGATTTCAACGTCATGCACCAGAGGATTTATGAATGTACATTGAATCTAGGAACACAGTGTGATTGCCAGGTTGTCCTCTATAAGCCCTAACTGTGACTCAGCCAGGTACACAATGGCAGCCTGGGTTTAGAAAAATAGGTCGATGTTTTGCCAAGAGGCAGAGGTTAATGGGGGTGAGGAGGGTGTGCACAGCTCCTTTTTTCTTTGCGGAATACTACATCCGTTGCATTTTCTTTTGGGTTAAATCTGAAACTTGTTCCTATTAAAAAATAAAGACTCTGATTTAAGATTTTGTTCATATTAAAGTAGATTTCACAACAAAAGCAGTAGGAGAAATAGCTTGATCAGCTAAAACTTCTAAAGGTATAAAGCAAAAAGTGCATGAATAGAAAAAAATGACAGAAATACAACACATAATTAGGAATATCAACAGTTTCTAAGTAGAATTTAGTTAATCCATGTGATATAAAATTACACAAAATTAATAAGACAGATTTAATATGTATAAAGAACAACATGGTGCCCTGGCCAGGGGGCTCAGTCGGTTGGAGCATCACCCCATACACCAAAAGTTAGCAGGTTTGATTCCCAGTCAGGGAATACATACCCAGGTTATAGGTTCGATCCTGATCGGGACACACATGGGAGGCAACCGATCAATGTTTCTTTTCTCTCTCTCTCTCTCATTAGTTAAAAAAAAAAACATATCCTTGTGTGAGGATTGAAAAAAAACCACACCCACGTGGTAATATGAGTAAATATGCTTTTTTTTTTGCCCAAGTATATTACAAACAAAAATTTTCCATGTTCTGGACCACACAATATAAGTAAGTCATAAGTCTATCCTCCATATATCCAGAAAATGAAATGCTCAATAACATAGAAAATATGGGAAAGAAAACTTAAGATCCACTAAATAATATTTGGGTCAGAGACAAACCCCCAAAAGGTTGTGATTTTTAAATACAAATAGAAATGCAATGTGTCAAATTAAATGGAATACAGCTAAAACAGTGAAAGTGTGGCCAAGCATCTTCCTAAAAGTGTAAAGTGTGGTCATAATAAGTGAAAGCAAAATATAACAAAGTTAAAATAAGAAATATGAAAAACAGTATCTCTTTGAAACTTTTAAAGCTAAAATTGAACCAAGAAACTTGTTTTACTTCAAGAGTAATTAATAAAAACATGGTTCACTTAGAATTCAGCCATTCGGGTGAGCATTGAACATTTTAAAAGTAAATCTCAACCGCAAATCAGAATGTAAACATTTCAGAAACAAATCTAGTAGAAATGCGACTTATGTTCCTGTTTATTTCAAGATTTTTTTAGTGGTTCTGGAGGAGTACCTACTAAGTAGGACTTTGACCTCGCCCTGTGTGGACAGGAGATGCAGAAGTCAGGTGAGCACTGGTGC